TTTAGTCTGCTGTAGAAATAGCGGTGAAAATTGTTGGTAACCTACACCTGAAGGTTAAAAAACGTCATTGGATTTCCACAACGCCATCCGAACTGACTGATGCGAGAAGACTGACTCCAGCTGGCTCTGACCACGATGAAGTCCAAAAGCAACTTAGAAGTTGACAAAGAGTTTTCGAGATCATCGGCAACTAGCTAAGCCTATTAAAGACAGCAGCAAAAAGATGATGGTTATTAAAAGCCTAACCGAAAAGGATAAGACGCCAATAACCCCTCAGGACAAACGGCTAGAGCGGTGGGCACAACACTAAAGCACAGTTCAACTTGCCTCAGTAACCTTTCAGTTGCCCGGCAGTCAACTTGAACCTGAATGGGACGTGGATATCGGTACACCAAACTCTCCTTGAGTTTGAGAAGGCTGTATCAAACCTGAAACGATGTAAACCAGTAGGACATGATAGTTTGTTAGCCGAAGTTTTGAAGGATGGAAGTAGGAAGTTACAGTTTAAAGTGGAGGTTCTGCGCAGTGTATGGGAATTAGAAGTAGTGCCGTCAGACTGATTTTTTCTCTAACCATTCCAATCTACAAGAGAAAGAAGTTTTCTTGTGATAACCATAGATGAATCAGCCTGACAAATATTGCCGAGCATCTATAGTTATCCGACGTCTAAGTGGAGCTCGACAACAAAAAAACTCAAGAAAACCAGGTAGGTTTCAGACCTAGATGAGGCTGTATCGATTATATTTTCACCCTCCGACAGGTTTTGCAACACAGACATACTTAGCGGGGGCTGACATTCGCCATATTTCATCACCTGAAGAAGGTATTCGACTCCATCCGCCGTGAGGTGTTGTGGCAGTGTCTGACTAAGAAGGGAGTACTGAACAAGAATATAAAGCTTATTATTAAAGCTTGCTAAAGCTGTCGTCACAACTGATGACAACTGGTAATTTCCGTCACGAATGCCCACCGTCACTGTTCCTATCCAACTTCGTTACAGACGTACTAATGGACAACAACCTCAGGTACGCCTGACTTCACAGGGATTGACGTAGTACCTGGAGGTCATCTGGTTAACTTGGAGTGTGCAGACGATACTATCCGGCTAGAGGACGCTAACAAACTGCAGAGCCTTCTGAACACGTTGAGCAGAAATATTTTTGGTATGTGTCTCGCACCTGTCAAATGTAAGATGATGCTCTAGGACTGGTCTGCTTCAAGTGATCCCAGTTTAATGATAGGGAGTGAAGTGGTGGAATGTGTCGACTACTTCACTTACTTGGGGAGTTGCATTAGCCCAAACGGATTGCTTGCTGATGAAATCTCAGTTCGGATACGAAAACCCCGTTTACCAACTGGCAGTTAAAAGTAGAAGATATGAAACAGCTACATGGTTTTCGTTATGATGCGAATTTGTGAGAACGAACGAAAATACTTAACGATTGGTGGTCGATGGTAGAGACGATTCAACCCGAGTGATTCGCAAAGAGAAATCAAAATACTGGAAATCAGATGAGGTGTAGTATCTCGGACTGAAAACGTTTAGTAGTCAAAACGGACTCTATTTATAGAGTTTACAGTAACCTACGCATCCCTAACCGTTTTGATCATAGGTGTTTTGGTAGCATTGCTCGCGTTTGGTGGAATCAATGTCTAAGCAATGATGACGTCAGGCGAAGTGTAATAGGCAAGAAAAGGAAATCGATTGAAACTGTGAACCTTAGTTGGGTGAGATGGCTTGGACTTGTACTGCGTATGCCAAGCGTACCCTTTTCTCGAAGTGCCATGTCAGAAGACATTGGATTAGTTCAGAAGAGGGCTCAGGGTGGCCAGACTTAGATGCAGTACCAGTCCATGAAATCTCTGTTGGTCTGAGTAGTGCACGTAGATGTAGACTACCGGGCTGGGGTCTCGGAGATGGAATGAATCAGTGGTTGAGGACTCTTGGTGAAATGGTCACAATGGCGCAAATGTGTTCACTCCTTGACGTTTTCTGAAGCTTGAATATTTACACTAACCGTTATCATCAAATTATTTATTGTTTTACAAAATTTTGTTTACTTCGATATCACTTTTTTTATTCACTTGTTCTTTGTATACTACGTTGAAGTGTGGCTACTTGAGTTGATGCACTTCTGTGCAACGTCCTACGTTGATTTTATCTGTGTCTGTTTAGACCAAATGAAAGCGCATGAAATTCCTTCCACAATAAATAGTACTAAAGATGTACTCTGGTGTAGCATTAAATTTCACGGTCTCTCCTTAGTTGGAGTTTTATACCGCCTTCCAAGAGCCTCCGCAACATTTAATAAGAAAATGATACATCCATTACAGGAGCTTAATATGTGAACTTTCCTCTGATCCTTACTATGGGTAATTTCAACTCTCTTTAGCTCTTCACCACTACAAGTCAATCAGCTCTTGAAAGATAGTTTCAGGAAAACTTCTTCAATGAACATGTTCTCAGTGTTAACGCTGGGGATCTAACGGTAAGATATCCCGTCTAGACTATGTTCTAACTAGTCAGTCCATCTATGTGTCCATAGACCTCTTGCATATAGTGATCATGCGCTAGCTTCCTTCAATATTTACAAGTCACCTACCCTTGATCAATCACGGGTCAGGAATTATAAGAAAACTGACTGTGAAAAGGTTAGACAAGAAACAAAAAGTTTTGCTTGACTAATTTTCGATGACTCACTTGATCTGAACACCAGACGGAACTGTTAGTGAGTCCAACACATCAAACGATTAATAAGAACACTTTTGATCTTCCTATAGAGAAGCATAAAGACTTACATTTACTGGCTTAAGTCAAGCACTCGCAAGCCTATGTGGTGTAAACGGTCATCTGGGAATCAATGAAGGGTTTCTAATAGCACCAACGACTGGAACAATTACAAGAACATCCATAACAGATGCACAACAAAAATCAGAAGGAACAGGGTAAATTACAAGACACATCTGAGTGGAGTACTGAGCTCATTTGCGAAAAAGAAGCGTAAAGTTTCAATTGGTATAGATCCTAGCAGTTCAGTGATTCTTCACACAAATTATGAGGTAGCAAACTTGTTGGCTCAGGAATTCCAAAATAATTTCTATCATACGCAAGGGACAACTACACAACACGTAAACACAAGTACTAATAAATTCTCAGGAATTGACGGCATTCACTAGACAGTGTTCAAAGGGTAGGCCAGTGTTTTAATTGCCCCACTAGCGAATCTCCTCAGATATTCGCTTCTGGAAGATACATTGTCCTCTGATTGGAAACTAGACGGCGTCATCCCAATATATCTTTATGGTGTTTTCAGTTGCAAAGGTTATGGCAAGAGTGGTAAATGACTCACTACATGATTATCTACTTAAGAACTCAACCCTGACAGTCAACACGGATATTTAGCTGAAAGGTCATGCAACCCTAAGTCGTTGGCAGCATAGAATCTCTCCGTTGGGCAGGTAGAACCCACTTATACATTGTTACTTGACTTTCCTACAGTCTTTGGTAGGGTCAATCACGATATCCTGTGTAGGAAACTTCAGCTTATGGTGGCACATGGAAAGTTACTTAGTTGGTGCAGGAATTACCTTAACAGCCAGCTGCAGCTATTTAGAGCAGACTCCTTATTTATCTGGTTTCCGTCATTCCCGTCCTGAGCTACAAATGCTTCACATGCTTTCTCTGCAGATGCATTACAGCGTGCCGAAGTTTTCGAATGATGGCTTACGGTGGCACCTAAGTTTTGTAGTTAGAAAACAAGCAGCAGCGATGTACCACGAATGAAATACTGAGAACAACTATTATGACTAAGTTACATCATTGCACTTGATTTCATTTCTAGGCACCAACGTTTGAACCAAGCTACGAGTCCATCCAAATCTCGTTGAAGAACCACCGGCAAGTAGGAGCATTAAAGGGCTTAGTAACTGCGGTCATACTTTGACGTATAGCATGAGGAGGGATTCCACTCAGCACAGTTCCCTACCTGGTCAATGCCCCACTAACCCTCACTTCGCCTTCAACTGCACAGAAGGTCCATAATCCGGGGTTTTAATGAAGCACCACAACCGAAAAAGAGGAGCTTTTAAATGAGACACTTTATTAAAAGCCTTACTGAAGTTTAGGAAAACGGGACCTATTAAAAGTTTGTTATGATAGGCTGCAACTCATTCCTTTAATGATGAAAAGCGTTGGTTAAACAAGTCTTCGGTTGGAAAACCATGTTGCTGTGGTAAGAAGGAAAATTTGATTCAACACAAACACCTAATCACGAGTTATTTTTATAAGACAAACTACACAAGTCAGACTAACAGCGTGGCAGCTAGACACTGATGATTACCGGCCTTTTCAGTCTATAAAGAGACGAGTTTCGGATAAAGATATTAGAACGCTCAGCAACTGACTAAGCAACAATGTCTGCTGGCAAAGATAGAAATCTAGGCTGCAAACCATCACAACACGGAAATTCTCCAGGACTAGAATTTCTAAGTAACTGGAACATCGCCTCCTCTGTTATTAGAACTGGATGCGTTGGAGGGTATTACTGACACTACTGTTAATAGCTGTGTCTACTTACCGAGAAAACTTCACTAAAAACTATTCCGATAAGCACTCCACTTTCGACAGGTTGGATTCTGACACGCCAGTATAACAAGAAAAATATTTGCCATAAGCTTACGGAACTTTCTGCCGCAAGTACTTTAACTTGCCCCAAGGCAAAGAACCTTAGTGAGTGAATGGACAATGAGTTAAAAATGACGAAATGTGTGATAGATATAATTTCCTACCACTCAAAAGATTCCCAAACTACTCATCCAATATTTGAGAAGTCGTACATTCCCGGGACTTATTAATCCCCATATAAACCGGAAAAGTAATCGCTTGGCCAAAAATTACTAAGAAACAAAACTGGGTGCCTATTTTAACTTTAGTAAGGTTAAATATTAACGTTTTCATATTACGAATGATGAGCTGACTCGGTGCAAACTAAGGCTTTTACCGGCGGCGAGTAAGACCGTTTTGAAAGTTATATCCTGCTATGTTCTCCCCAGACTATCTATAAAGACCGACGTTATAGACATGTACATGTAAAGGTAGAATCCCAAAAAGGCGGTTTTATAGTTGAAGGTCACACAAACCTCAAACTTCAAGCTTCGCGTCGTGGAATTAATGCACGATGGTTCCTTGAGTTCTGGGTCTGCCTTATTGGAGTACACCTCAGGTTCTGAATTGTTACAACTGTTTTCATGGTTCAGAAAAACTTGAAAGGATGGAGATAATCGATTATTAATTAATCTGGTCTCAAAGTAGTATTACTCCTCCTGATCTGTAGATGACGGAAAGCTTCTTGAGTACACCCCATCGGTACCACAAGGCTCTAGATATTCATCTAGTCTGGGGCTGTAACAACTGCTGAAGAAAAAGAGTTTCACGGTTAACAGACTCTAACTGCAAACGAATTAGCACGAATCTTTTGCCTGCTCTCTTACTTTCTACGCCTAGCAGGTGCTCCGTAAGGGGACTTTTGTGATTAAAACTTAAAAAGAGTCTGTTAGGATCAAAAGGAGTATGGGAAAAGTGGTACATCATGGTCATATCCCCTCTGATCCTCCGGTATTGTACTGTATGCAACTTAATAGCAGCTAAGCGATCTAGGTAAGGTTCGTACCGTAACCCAATCACCGGCTTAGTAGCTCTTCTATGAACCCGTCCTAGAATGGTTATGTCCTTATTCAAATATGGGGATGAAGGCAAGAGATAGTCCGTACACCGTAGTGAAAAGAGGAGTTAGACTCCCTAAAGTTGGTGAAATAAACCCCAAGACTCCATAGGCTTTGTTGGCTGCAAGGAGGCAGTAGACTGAAGCTCCAAGTTTCACCTGAAGTAACTCCTAGTTCATGTTCCATGTTTCAGGGGGAGATATTTATTTCACCCAGAGAGTAAGAGCTGGAACTGTTTTTATATTTGTCAACTATCACCATCCAGCACTTCTTCAAGTTGAGAGGGAGCAGGTTTTCTGTAGTCCAATATGGGATTTTTTTAAGGTCCTCCCAGAGGACAGAAATATCCCTCAGCACCCGTATTTCCTCCAAATCTTCTGATCGTCGACACATAAGACAATGAGAATTCAGGGGTATTGACAAGTAACTGATAAAAAAGCAAGAAACTGTAGTGGACTCAGAATAGAACCCTGAGGAACACTACTGAGCATAGGGATCCAGTTAGATAACGATGAGTAGACTCTGACTGCAACCTAATGTAAGGATAATCTCTAAGCCAAATTAGTAATTCTCCGTATAAACCCATAAGCAGAAGCTTTTACACAAGATATCGTGACTTGCCCTATCAAAATCCTTATAAAGTTAAATAAACCAGTGTGAATGGCCTTTTTCTGCCCAACAGAGTGAGTCCGGCCATTCCAAGCTATCAACAAGCTGGTGTTACATGGCCTTCCAGGTAAAAAACCATGTTGATAATCGTTTAAGACTGAATTATAGAGTAGGCAATCACTCAATGGTGTCTTTTTAACCTACGTAGTTTACCGGTATATTTAACTATCACTTCAGGTGTCACGGAGGGCTTTAGAGTTGAGAATAAAGCAGACTGGCTGCTGGCATACACTATTTTGTCAGGCAGGAGCTTATAGTGGGTGTACAAACACAGCCATTCATAGTCAGCTTCCAAAGCTGTCTGCTGCAGTGCCGTTCGAAGAGGTGGAGGGTTCACTCTCCTGAGGAATAGAGCTCCAATAAGGTAAAAAAATTTCTTCGTGGTCTGCTACCACATTATTGAATTGTTATGCACAATAACACTTTGTGCTCCTTTGCTGCAACATGCTAGTATTTAGTTATATATTCATCCTGATTTTCTTTATTTTGCTTTTCACGGCATTCTTAAACTCCTGGGAGTAATATTAGCCACCCACCTATTTACACTCCTTGATACCCCATTTGTGTATATTCCGATTGTGTCCCTGTTGTATAGATATTTTTCATCTTGTCTGACTGTCCTAATCTTTGCCTTAGATACGGTTCGTCAACAAAACGCAGCCATGGAAAATAATGGAGATTCGCCCATGTTTCATACCACTTCACCTCGTAGCGCTAAGCTAATATTCTCTTCGGGTAGACGTAATGTTTCTAAGTTTCCTCCTGCTTACCCTATAAAAGAGGCTTCCTCCTGAAAACATAGTTTATTGGACTACATGATATACTTTTTAACATTCACAATCCTCTTCCGAGTATGCTGGAAGAATTAAAATGTCACAAAGAAAACAAGTATAGTCTGCGCGCAAGGCCTGATGCTCTCTTCTACTAAGTAAATCATACATTGGATGTATCTCGGAGAACTGGCACCATAATCCATCTATCACAAGCACCACCGAAATCCAGTTGAATGAACTACAGCTCGGAAATAGGGCGAATTCTGATCACGTAATCACTGGAACTAAATCTCGACCCAATAATCTCTCTTTTTCGATCTCCTTATCAAATTGCCCGGCTTCGGCCCTGATGAGTGTCAGGTCTTCTTTAAGACAGAGAATTTAATTGACTCTATTTCTTCAGGGGTCATAAACCGTAAGCGAAAACGCAATGAAGTATCCGTCTGTAACATTTCAGGTGAATTACCCTCAACTCTATCCGTTCACATCTCAGAGCTGCAAACCTCCTAGCTTATTTATGCCGCCGCACACAAATCTGAAAATCTGAACCGCCTCTTAACCATCCTGTTCTTTTAAACTTTGGTTCCCCAGCCACAGCAGACACACTCCTGAGTTCTTTGTAAAAGACCAAAACTGTCCCCGGCTTTCAGCAAGTACTTGTTGACTCTGAACCAGCTTTGAAGACGCTAACGACCAGCTTCGAGAATTCCATATAGTGCTCGCCCTTCCTAGCGTGGTGCTCAGAATTCCTCGACCTATCAAGTAGCACAGCAGGTACTTCGGTGATGCACCTTCTCCTTAATAACGGGATTTCTGTTAACCCATCGGTAGCGTTATATCTTGGAAGTCCAAGGTATGAAAATCCGCCCGAAACAGCTGCCCATTTCCGGAACTGCTGTGACAGACGGTGATGAAGTTTCTGTTATCCCGGACACGCTTGGCAACCTCAACTTATCCACCGCTCACACGCGTTATATCAGCAAAATGCCCAACATCGGAACGCTCATGGTGACCCATAGCACCCCACACCGTAGATTCCGTATACAAAAATCCGATTTGAATCATCGCGATTTGCAGGAGCATAGCACTTTCCTCAATTCCGAGCATAGTAATCTGAGCTTACCTTCGTTCCCACTGCCAAATACTGACTTTCATCTCATCACATTCTTCACCCTGACACGCCTCGGTATTCCAATACCTTTCATGAAGGCAACAGCTTCTTACGTCTTCCCTCCTGGAAGAAGTACTCAACAGTCTGGTGCATTCACACACTATAGTTCACAAAATGATTTGTCCGGGGCATCAGGTGCACTTCCTAACCCAAACAGGACCCTCTAAACTCAGACGCGCGGACAGATTCTCCATACAACGCTCATATGTCCACTTCTTGCCCACTGACACGGCCAGGGAATATTGAGTATAGCATGAACTCTTTCTGTTAACTGGGACGCATCGCACAATCCTCACATGAAGGCCTAAATTACCTGCATATCTTTTTTCGCCCAAACCAATCAACTGCTTCGACACCACCCTTACCTTCAGTGTTCATGCTTCCGTTTATGAACCCCTCAGCCGTTGCGATTGCAGACAATACAATGCAATCCCATGCTCTCGTGACCTACTTCCGTTTAAATGTGCATACACTTCTGAAGCGGTTTATGAAAATGATAGGCAGTCACTAACCCGGCAGCCCCTTTCGTCCCACTTTCCCATCTTTGTCTGGTTTTCATAGCTAATCAAACTTTAGCTCTGGTGGCAACCACCTGAGTTGCGATGCTCAGCTAGTCTTCTCCCGTGGTATTCCTCACTCGCCCCACTTCTGACATTTTTCTGCCACCTTCATCCTCCTACATCTCTCCTGATCTCTCCTTTAACAGCTCTTCGCCTTGCATCTAACCTCATACAAGCTTTTAAATGGACCAACCAGAAATATGAGACTTCTTATTCGCGAGCTCTTGAACCGCTCTTCAACTGAGTCGACCCCTTTGAATTTCGCCCTTATAAAGGCATACCCCATTAGAAGACCCTCTACCTACCGCCAGCCTACCGCTTTTATTATTACGAAAGCCTGGAACTTTTGCAAAGTGACTCTGGCTCCTACTTTTGGGTTGATGGGTATCTTCTGCTTCGAAACGTTAGATAAAGCAAGCGTGGTGGTTGTTGTCCCACCTACGTTCAGTCACACATCCCGGCCATCACAATGGAATCTCCTCCATTCATCGCCATCAACGACTCTCTGTGTGTTCAGCAGCCCATGCTAAAGTGATCCATCTTCTTAGGGTGTACATATCGTCTACCCAGTGTGCACCAATAGTTTAATTAGCAAATTTATACATTTTTTGCAACCGCCTCCAACTTCTCATGCAGCTACAAAGTTATCTATGGGTACCGACACGCCACACTTCCAGTGAGGTCCTCTCTTCTGGACCTTAAAGCTACGATGAATTTCTTGACGTCCTAGATGTTACGGGTTAGGTTCAGCTCGTTTCGTTTCCAACACATGACAACAATATATTGGACCTAATATTTTGGAATAACATCGAACCATCGGATGTTCATGTTAGCCACAGATTCGACCAAACTGATCACAACCTTGCAATGTATTCATTTAACGGACAGCCTGCATAAGTGTGAATCTCACCAAGTCTGTGACATGAAACAGCCATGGTCATGCTAACTTTGAACAACTTGCTTCTCCCTCGCACCGTGTAGAATGGGGCGACTAACTTCCTTCCAATGATATACAAAGCCTAATCAGTACAAACTCCAGATATATCAGCCTTCACCTTGATGCAACTGTTCCTGTCAAAGCAGTCGGATGTAGAGCAAACTATTTGGCATACTTGCCCTTAAAAATGAGTCGCAGATCACGAAAATTCGCCGGGCCTTC